TCCTTGGTTCTTAGTTGTACTTAATGGGAACAATAGGAAAGAGCACATTTACTCCATGTCCCCAAGAAGAAGAAGTCAGTCTCAGTATTGACTTTCAAGAGCATGCCAGATAAGCAGTGTGTGAAATTTCTAAGGTAGATTACAGGAGCTACACCCATTTTCATACAGAAACTTTGCTAATTGTAGTGAACCATGTACATCCATTAAACAAACCATCTGTTTGGCAGCATTGCCCTGGAACATACTTAGGGTTGCTTCTTTCCTTGTGGGAATACAAAAGAAACAAAATAGGGTCTATCATGTATGATCTTCCAGCCTAGTTGGGACAAAAAGACCATCATTTACAACAAGCATGTCAAACTCAAAGGCTAACACGGGCCAAATAAGCAAGGTTTAAGTTTATGTGGGCTGCAAAAAAACGAAAACTTCAATTTTCATAGAAACGTAGGTTTATTTCGGTAGAGACATGCTGAATACAAAGTGCTGAAATAAAAGAGTAATCATTAACATAAAATGATAGAATATTTTAATAAAAATTAATATTTTTTCTTGAGCATTAACTTACCAGACACTGGATAACTGCACAAGTTAATAAGCGTAACGCAAATAAACCTATTTTTCTTGTTCTCCGAAGAGAAATATTTCCTGTTGCTCACACCAAACAAGTCAGTCCAAGACTGATGGCGTGGCAATTGGCTGCTAAAATATTTGCTGCTAGTATTAGTGGGGAGAAATGATGCGCCTGTGCGTTAGGCAAGTAAGGGAAATGAATGCAACATGATTATAGTAATCAGTCATTAGCGAATGTTGTAGCTTCTTATTAATAATTATTAATTGTAATTATTTACAATAACAGGATATTGTAAAAATTAAATCACGCAATTTTTATTAAAGCGTTTCTTACATACCATTATATTGGCTGGGCTACAAAAATACTCATTGTGGGCCGCATGCGGCCCACAGGCCACAAGTTTGACATGCTTGATGTACAATATAACCAAAGGAAAATGCTAAATTGTACTACAATCCATAAGAAGAGAGGGTAAATAAATATCAATGAATATGATCATGTTATAAACTAAATATGCTTCCTTCAGTCCTCTTAAGAGTAGTTTATTATGTAGACTTGCCCAGTTTTATTCAGTATTTTATCTGAAGCCTACTAGGTGCCAGGCCCTTGTGCTTAGGTCTAGAATATAAGTATTAGTAAAATATACTCCTTGTTTTTTAGGAGCTTTAGTTGGAGCCAAGGGTGGGAAACAGATATAAGAAGGCAGACCCTTAAAGTTATAGCAGTGCAGTGTGATACATGTTTTATTTATGGTAATTATGCTCATACAGAAGACAAATTTTGCAAGTGTAGAGTCCTGATAAGGGTCAAAGAAGGCAATAGAGATGTGGTGACATGATGTGTTTGGAGCATAACTAAAAACATATAAAGAACTGGATGAAAAAGAGCATCCCATGTAAAGGGAGCTTGGCAGAGAGTGTGGGGCAGCGGCTATAGTGAGCTTTCAGTGTAATAGTAGGGTATGTAACTTTACACATTTGTCAGTAACACAGCTGATCAATTTTAAATGTTTAGATTTTAATAATTCATACTGTTCTTCGTTGTGATCCAAGTAAATGAATTTGTATTGCATTAAGATAACAAATGTGCAGAAAAAATTTTAAGGTATTTATGAGTGTGCAAGGGTTAATGGGTAGTATATTCAGTAGATGCTAAATAGATAACCAGTTCTTTACTGAAACACTATGTATACCTGTGTGTGCACCTTCATTTAAAAAAATTTTTTCAGCACATACTTGCATATATTTGGTACAAAGAGAGCATTAAGAAAGGGCTCTTAAAGTTTTGTCCAACTATTGTAGAAAGAGTTTATTTTGCCTGGTCTTCACTGTCCTTGCAAAATAAATCGCATCATCATTTTGTATGGGAGCCAATTTTATTTTCATCTGAAGGTAGTTTTTCCACATATAACTCTATGCTGATTAGGAAAGGGAGACATGGTGCTTTATATGTGAACATGATGCTCCTACCTACATACTCTAGACTTTTCAGATTTTACAGAACATGGTAACTTCTCTGGAAAGCTTAAGATTAAATCAAAATATTGTCTTGAGTTTTTATTGAGCCAAATATTGCTAATATTTGGGACTCTATGCTTCAAAGATTTTTAGAAGAAATATTTTGATTATATGGTCTAAGAATTAATCTATTTTTATTTCTTATTGCAGATGGAGTCTGGTGGTACAGTTTTGAGTACCAACTGGTCTGATGTAGGTAAAAGAAAAGTTGAAATCAATCCTCCTGATGATATGGAATGGAAAAAGTACTAAATAAATTAATTTGCTATTACTGTATTGCATATATTCACCTAATGCCCATTGTGTATTATTAATATTGCATTCTTGAATTTTGAACACTGAGTATCTTTTTCAAAGATTATACCTCTTTACCTCTCTGTGCTTTAGAAATTATTTTCCTTCAAGTGTTCAAAGAGTCTAATGAAGAATATAGGTCATATTTTATCACTCTATCCTTGAGGATTTTAGACATGCTGAGATGGAGTGAGGTATCATTTGCTACTAGATAGATTAGTTCTATCTAGTTGTGGGAATGGAGAAATTGTCCATTGGGTATCTTGGGTTATTGCCTTATTTTTGATGCAGTGTTCTGTTAATAATTTATCAGACTTGGCAACTTTGGGTGAGCATAGATTTTTCAACTTCAGTGTTATATTGTTTGCTTTAAAACTGCTTTTGAATTGAATTGTAAATACAGTTTTTTCTGTGAAGAAGTTTGGCTTATTTACCTTTTTCTTAAGTTTTTAATGAGAAATTATTTATCACAGGGAATTCCCATTTGGTTCTTTTTATGAGAAGTCTTTGTAATTGCACTGGGATTTTTATCCTTATTTTCCAAATTCCTGTATAAAACACAGACACCTGAGTTTAACATGCTGCAAATTTAACTGTACTGAAAGCCAATCTGTGAAGATGAGAACAGAGTGATTTAAGGAAGCCCAACTTCACTTCGTGCTGCTTTTGCCTTACCAGGATTCCTGAAATTATAGCACTGGTGGTTTAGTTTGGTTTTTGTAGGATTTATTTATTTTTTCTTTATTAGAAAACTTTTTCATATCCAGTGGTTACTTTGGTTTCAGCGGTTTAGGGTAGCTGCTAAGAGAGTAAATCAATATGTACCTATTTAGTATTACTTAGTAACATTTTATGATAAGGCACTACTCTGCCTTCATAGCTGAGGATAGGATGAATGGAAGGCAAATTTGCCATCATTTCAGCCTCTGAAAGAGTGAGAATTTAGCCTCTTCTAGTCATTTAATGAAGTTTAGGGTTGTTCATAAGGAAAATGGTGGAGTGATACCAGAGTATGCCCAAACCTGTTGTTATAGCTATTTAAGCATGGGGGGAGAGGGGGATGTCAGAGTGTTCACTTGTCCTTTTTGCCCATTTGGAGTACAGGTTACATTTTTTTGTTCTTGAACACTGAAGGTAAAGGTACAATTACGTTCTTGATTGTATGAATTTCTAAAATTTTCCCCTTAGGGAAACTATTAGTGAATTTTTTATTCTCTATGTTAAATTTTCTCAATACCATTAGTCCTAAGGGATCGGTAGGATATTGCTGCAGAGGTGATGTCAGGGAAGAATACAGCACTACACCAGAGATAAGAATCTTAGTTCTAGTAAGTCTCTGCCACCAAGTGGCTTTATAATCTTCAACAGGTTTAGCCTTTCTGCCTTAGTTTCTGTGTCTGTAAATAATCTATAGGACTTAGAGTTATAAGTAGAAGCCCATGATTCTAAATACAGAAACATTTTTGCCAATTAAGAGTAACTTTTTTTTCCTTACGAATGACACTACTATAATAGAAATTTGTTTTTTTGTTTTAAATTTAGTACTAGTTTTTCTTGTATTTTAAAGGATACATTATATATAGTTTGTTTATTGGCGAGGTTTTTTAAAATTTTAAAATATAGTCCGGTCGTCGTAGCTCAGTGGTTGAGTGTCGACCTATGAACCAGGAGGTCACGGTTCTATTCCCGGTTAGGGCACATGCCCAGGTTGTGGGCTCGATCCTCAGTGTGGGGCATACAGGAGGCAGTCTATCAATGATTCTCTCTCATCATTGATGTTTCTTTTATTTTTTCTTTTCTATTTTTTTTTTTATTGATTTCAGAAAGGAAGGAAGAGGGAGAGAGAGATAGAAACATCAATGATGAGAGAGAATCATTGACCGGATATCTCCTGCACAGCCCCTACTGAGGATTGAGCCCACAACCCAGGAATGTGCCCTTGACTGGAATCGAACCCAAGACCCTTCAGTCTGCAGGCTGACACTCTATGCCCTGAGCCAAACCAGCTAGGACTCATCATTGATGTTTCTACCTCTCTCTCTCCTCCCTTCCTCTATGAAATAAATAAAAATATATTTTAAAAAATTTTTTAAAAATTATAAAATATATCTGATCTAGATTTATTATAAAGAAGGGAATTTGAAGTAGTTTAGACCACTGTCCTAAAGTACTGCTTCTCTTTCCTCATTATACATAATGAAAATTTGTAAGCCTCCAGAAATTTAAAACTTCATTTTGATTAAGAACCTTGTAACTTTATCCTTATTTTCTACTATCTTAGCTTAGCTATCATGAATTGGTCTCACTTTCTTTCTGGACTCCCATTTTCAGTTCTCAATTTTTTGATCTCAGCATTCTTGGTTAATCTTTTGTTTCTTTGAAATGTACATTTTTTCACTTAGTATTTATTTTTAAGGTTCAATCCTGGAAGCCTTTTCTTTTTTTTTTTTTTTCTTAATCTTAAATTCTTCATCTATTCTCCTGATTTCTGTCATCACCTATACCTTGATGATTTCCCAGAACTTTCCCTCTATCTTCAAAGAATGGGATAATCTACTTCTTTGAATTCTGCTATCAAGGAATCTCTTAGTTGGCTATAACATAGGTTTGAAACATCAGGGTCCATTTCAATAATTCTGTCTTGTATCCTAACCCATTTGTAATTGGTTGCTAACTAATAAGTTCACTCATTAATATTGGCAATTACTGGTCATTTACAAAAAATAATCTGCTTTATCTTTATATGGAATGCAGGAAAAGGATGGCTTGCATTAACTACATTTTTTTTTTTTAACATTTTCATGCTTTAGATTTGTGATATTCACTAACTGCAGAACACTGAATTATGGTTACTATCTTCCTGACTTTGGGAGAGAATTTCTTAGTAGGCTACTAGGATAGGACAAGGAAGAAAAAAATTGGACTGTCCCATATAAATTTTGTAGATAAATTTCAACAAACATTTAAAATGGGGATATGTTACTATTGTTATAAATAGTCAAATTTAATTTTAATTTAGTTCAATAATTGCATATTTGGTTATCCTTTCCCACATTATCTTTTTTTCTTCTCCAGTTATGTACATTATCACTTTATGCCATTGATCTCTGAGATACATCACTGACCCAGAGCAGTTTTGCCTATTAACTTATTATCTGATCCTCCCAGTGCACTTTAATTCTATTGGGATCTTCCTAGTCCACATTAATGTGAATTTCTCTGACTGGTAGCTATTACTGACATTTCCAAAAATGTTAGAAAATTTCTGGGTGGTATGTGTGCGTGTTTTGTTACAAGAGCTACTTTTCTTTGTAACCAGCCCTAAAGAAGTTTACCTCTATACTCATACCTGCTATTATAGTCCCATAGGAATATAGATTTTGGTTATCTCTGTCTCGGAGGAACCAAGGAAAAAATAATAATAAAAGCTAAAAGGACAAAATAATGGTTTCTGTGCCAGGGAGTCATGTGTAGTTTTATTTTTTTTAATTGTTATTTTTAAAATAATTTTATTTTTCAATTACAGTTGCTATACAATATTAGTTTCCAGTGTACATCATAGAGATTAGCCATTTATATAATTTATTTATCATCTCAATAAATCTAGTACCCATCCAATACCATAGTTACTAGAATATTATTGACTATATTCCCTATGGTGTACTTGACATCCTTGTGGCTGTTTTTATAACTAGTAGTTTGCACATCTTAATCTCTTCTCCTCCTTGTTTTTGGTTAGTCCATACCCGAGGATATTTTTTCCTTTGATTTTTAGAGAGAGTGGAAGGGAGGGGGAAAGATAGAGAGAAACATTGATGTGAGAGAGACACATGGATCGGTTGCCTCCTGCACTGGGATTGAACCTGTGACCTTCAGTCCGCAGGCCGATGCTCTAACCACCTTGCTGAACCCACCAGGACTCTTTCTTCTCCTTTTTAATAAGCGGGATCATCAACATTGATCTTGTTTCCTTTGTCTCCAACTATGCATATTCTATTGTAAGATCATTTTGTACACAGTAATCTCTATAACAAGAGATTTTATTTTGGAAATGACTGAGAACTTGTGGGCAAATTGGAGATATTGAATTACAGATGTTATTATTTGGAGTCATCCTTGTGATTTGCTTCTGAAATTAATTTAACTCTTAGCTTCTCTTCCTACCTCAGTGAACTTGCCCCGCCTCCCCCAAACAGCTAAAATCATATGTATTGCTAACCCCTTAGAGCAATAGCAGTGGTAGCTATTCTGTACTAGAACTTTTTATGTGCCAGGTGTCACTAAGTGCTTTATATACTCTACCTCATTTATGAAAGCATTGTAAAGTAGTAGTAGCATGCTGTTAGTACATATTTTTAAAAATGAGGCTAAAGTTAAGTTGTTTGCCCAAATTCATTCCATTGGTAAGTGAAGAGGAAGCTGGGATTTGAATCCAGGCCTGTCAGACTCCAGTGCCCATGCATTTAACAACTGTGACTCCCACTTCAGGCAAATGAGTTGGGTGTGGAATGATTTTCATTAATAAATCAACTTTTTTACAATGAAGCAGAGAATGTGCAGGTTGAATTGTTTAATTTTTCTTGTACATGGGGTGGAAAGGTATATTCTTAAAGTTCAGAATATTATCAGTTTCCTAAGTAGGAAAGCTTATTAAGAATATAAATCTTTTGCCTCTTACCTCAAGTAGTCCTGATTTGTGTTGAAAGTGCTATTTTTCTCAAACCCAGATAATTAAGAGAAAAAGGTACCATTATAACTCCTGTAGGTGTAAGAAGACTGGCATGTTACGATGATCAACTTTTTTTTAAATGTGGGCACTCTCACACTAGTTTTTATTATACAAATAAAGGCTAAGATTGTTTTTTCTTAAATACATTTATTAGGTTTAGTGTATCACTGATTTTTTCAATAAATTTGGAATGATTCAGGTTTAGTTCCTTTGTCCCAATCATGTTAGCATTGTATATACACTGAGTGTCCAGATTATTATGACCA